AGAGTCATCTCCTTTTCACCGGTTTTAGTTTAAATTTTATCCAGATATGCAGTTTACGTATCTATAGCCGTCCGTTTACAAAATGAAGAAGCGAGACAATACTGTGACTGAGCGGTTTTTTCCTCCTGTCTTAAAGTTATACCGGTATTGCAGAGTGAAATGCTCCATCTTCTCTTATCCTTTTTGAACTTTTTTTTAAATATATATTTTGTTATTATACTTATCGAAATAGTAAGGTAGTTGCTTGTGTGATCATAAAATAATTTTAAACTACATGAACATGTGCCTATACAAAAGCCTGTAATCTCGCCAGTGGTTGTCTTTAGGTTAAAATATATGACGATGATGCTTATCATTATTATTATTATTATTATTATTATTATTATTATTATTATTATCATTATTATTAATTTTTTTTTATTATTATTATTATTAAAAGAATTGTGTGTTCACCACAACTTCTCTAGACTATGGAGAATTTAGAGCTCGATATTCATCTAGAAACTTATCTATTGTTGAAGACAATTAGTGGATCTCTCAATGTACATGTTGATCATTTTCAGGTCGTTCGGATGCTGCCTTCATCTGTTTTTATCGATGTAACTGGTACATTAATACAACAAACGGCCTTACCTTGCAAATATTTCAGGCTTAAATACTACTCATTCAAATATAGCGCATACAACGATTATGATAAACTTTTCAATTCCAAATCTAAAGTGGATTTCAATCCGTCTTCCTTCTGAATTCTATCCGAGATAAAATATTTACTTACTGATCTTCTCAACGAGATAACCTATATTTGTAAAAACTTGTCAAAACTTTTATCATTATCTTGTGTTGTATAAGTCATTGGACAAACGACAGACAAATCAAATGAATTGGTACTCGTTAACTGTTGATATACTTTTAGATTTGGGCCTATCTATACGATCTAGGTGAAGGTCACTGACCTCGTATAATCTTAACCTCAGAGATTCTAATACAAATGTGAATTGATAATTTCACTTACTAGTCTACACTATAATGAGTGATATGGTTTTCTGACCGCATCGAACTGACCATTTTCTTGGGTTTAAAGTACAGGACACGAAAGAGCGAAAAATTCAAAGTTTTGGAAAGAATAGAAATTGGGAGCATGGGCCGACAATCTTTATATGTGTAAATATAAACTCGAGCCATGCAAATCATTGTTTTGCAGATTACAAGAAATGGGAAGCATGGGCCAATAACCCATATATATGCTAATATAAAACAGAGCCACGAAAATCATTGTTTTATCGGGACAGCATATAAAACGTCTGTATATAACTTTTTTGAACAATAGAAATTCGTCCATTCTCGTCACAGAAACGAGATTGGTGAATTACAAATATGTTTTCGGTGATCTGAAACTAAAGTCAGACTTTAAGCAGGATTTTTAAATGCTTTTAGATATAAAGCAAAAGATGGTACAAGCATTAAATTATTCCAGACCAAAAGATTGTACAAGCTGTAAAATATTCCAAAGGATCAATTCGTCCCAAGAATTCAGGATACTCCACTTATTTAAGTTGATTGATTGATTGGTGGTAAACGCCACTTTCAGCTCTATTGTGCTATTTTTTGGCGGTCAGTTTATATTAGTGGAGGAACCCGGAGAGAACCAGTGGTTGTCTTTAGGTTAAAATGTCTTTTGTTTTTGTCTTTTTCTTCTTATTATTATTATTATTATTAATATCATTACTATTATCATTATTATTATTATTATTATTATTCTGTTGGAAAACTGTCAATCCTAGTCAATTAAGATTGGAGTCGAGCGCACCTGCAACGTGCAGGATTCGAACTGACAACCTCAAGGTTGACAGGCTAGTGATACAGTTACTGTAGTTCGACTAATTAGACCACTCGCGGTCACTTCTAAAAAAAATGTCACTTTATTCAATAGGTTTTTTTGTGTGTTTGCTTTAAGTACAGTGGCAAATATATCGTGCATGTTCAAGACGTAAGGAAATAAAAAAAAATAAACATTTGCTTTATAAATCACTCGCAGTTTCTCTCCTACTAGCATGACTAATAAATACTTGTATTTATTTGAGTCATATCTTTTTCCTAATGGCACCTTAAGTTAATTTAAAAAAAACTAATACCCGGTTGCTTCTAGTTTTCTCCTTTTTAGGTGATGCGCTTTTTAGAAGAGAAAACGCCCATATATGGAACACTTAAAGGTCAAATTGACATACTTGGCCTGTTTTACCCAAGTTTTTTTAGCAACCATCCATCAACCCCGATCTATTAACATAAACATTATATAAAAAAAGAAGATTAGATCGGTGTCGGGTGACTTTAAATAATTCATAAAGTACCATAAATCAAATATCAAATATTTGCTTTTCATGTTGACTACTCAATAGAAGAAATTTAAAACAAGTTTTTACAAAAATCAATACAGTTATATCAGTTTGTCTATTGAAAAAACCATGAGAGCAATTTCATTGGTTCTCAGATCAATTAAACATTTGAAGTGCAATCAACAGCATGGGGTATAGCAAATAATATCATATTTCCGAACGCACCTTCTCATACACGAATCATCCAAGAGGGTCTTGATGGGTTTTACAGAATACATAGAGAATAAAGGGTAAAAAGTGCAGAATAAAGTGCCAAATAAATACAGAATATAGAAAAATGGGCAAAAAAAGAGAATACAGAATAATGGGGTGCTCAAACATAAAGAAAAGAGAATAATAGGAGAAAATATAAAGAATATAGAAAATGACATAAAAAAAATTATAAAGAATACAGAAATGAAGGACCCACAGCCCAGACCCTTATCAAAAGCTGATATATATCCAGTTCTAACCGGTTATCTACGATTAAGTCGTCTGCTGATTACTCACAAAAATGGACAACTTTATGGACTAAAAAGGTCAATTAAAGGGGGTTCATTAAGATCATGTAAATGTATTACACGTAAGGTTTTAACTCCCTCGAGGTCATGAGAAGTTGATCTAAAAAGCTTTATCTGTTCTTTTAAGGCAAAAAAAGGATATATGGTGTATTTATCTGTACCACATATTCCTTATACACATACTTGACAAACCAAAAGCACATGACAAGCGATTTGATTGCTGTTATTCATCTAATATGGTATGGTTGTTCTAAACACATGTGTCAAACACATTGCAAGCTGTACCTTACTTAAATAAAAGTAAAACTTATACATAAAACATACTTAGGGATAAGACTTCTATAACGATGGTATACATACGAAGTAGAATTGATACTTACTAAAAGAGATAAGAGAATGTCGAGTAGGTGTTAACGAGACTCCATTAAAATGGGGGGAAATCGTACTATCGAAGAAATGTGTAACAAGCAAGCACTTGTAAAAGCCTCTAAATTACGACTAGTCTAACATATATAGTGAATTCCACCTCAAGTATAAATATGAAAAACAAACAAACAAATAAAAACAATACAAAACCATAAAGTAACTCAGCATTGTGAAGAAATCATTACCCCTGGTACCAGCGGTAGGGGAGTAACTCGTGTTACACTTTGAACTCAAGATTCATGACACGACATTATCGAAAAGCGATATTAAATGAAGCTGATAGATTAATTACTTAGTAACAGATGTACTTGCAAAACAAATAGTCTGCCTGACGACATTAGTATGATACTTAAAATCACAATTCGATCGCGTGTTATAGTGTTTATATTTACAAAAGTACATCAGATGGACATTAATCTTCTAGTCTGGTTGTCTCCGTTGGTATGATACGGGTAACATTTGATTCAACAGGGGCGGATCCAGCCATTCTAAAAAAAAAGGGGGGGTTCCAACCATATGTTCCCATTCAAAAGTAGTGATCGTCAAAAGGGGGGGGGGGGGGGGGTCCAACCCCCGGATCCGCCACTGCTGAATCACTTTTTTACGAATAGAGGATAACAATACTGGTCTATAGTCAAATCGACATTTCACTATATTTTTGTTAAATCATTAAATGCGACTAAAAGATACCAAAAAACAAAAGAACAATCGAAAAATTCATCATTTCGTTGGGTAACAGTTTCGGTCTGAGACCCAAACAAACAGCTGCTAAGATGTCGCTCGGAAAAGGGGTCCAATCCTTTTGTGGTAGAGGTGAGCAGCTGAGACATCCAGTACCCCACGCTTTTCATATAATTTGATAAATATTTAAACCATATTATTTATTTTTTTTACAAAAATACCCACATGAGCTATCATGGAGAAATAAATAAAATTGAGAACAATGCCTCAGATACTTATGATTTTGCTGACTCGGTGGTAAAATAATAAGTGAAAATTGTATCACTGCTTACTTCATGATTAGATCAATATACATGTGCAGGTACTACACAGTTCGAAAAAAATTAAAGACCAAAGAGATATGAAATTGAAAAACATTCCAAACCTATTATTCTCAGATATATGGTCTCTAACTGATTTACGTACGAAATAAATAATAATATTCTTTTTTGTTCCAGATGTCAATTGATGAAAGATTTTTCAAAAGCATGTAAATGCAATACCATTTCAAAGTTATAATATATATTTGGATTCTATCTAGTTCAATATATATAATGTTCTAAAGATGATGAAGTACCGTTCAAGATTATATTTTTCTCTTTAATATTCAAATTCCACAAGGTTTCATATAATTTACTATTTTGACTCGGTCAGTTTAAAAAATACAACGAGCATGTACAGCAGCCGTTACTCTTTATTTCCAAAAATGCACATAGACTGACTGTGTGCTCATACAATGAAGGCTTGGGATTAAAATACCGTTTGTTTTTTTAAAGATTTCAAGTGGTAAAAACTCACTGTGAAGTATGGTCCCTATTTGTGTAGAATAGCTCATAGGATTACATTTAAATCCAGATTCATGTTAAAATGTGCCAAAATCCTGTCATGAAAGCTTTAAACAATCTAATCCTAAAATCACAATTTATCAGAAAAAAGATAAATAAATAAATAAATTACTTACTTTATAATGCCAAATATGGCTATAAAAGAAACTCCAAATATATGGCTGTCAAAGAAACTCCGGAACTCTGACAAAGGGGAGGCAACTTCTTAGTTGCAATTTATAGTTTTATCACTTTTTATCTTGTTGGCCTTGATTTGACCAAGTAAAGCCCTTATCAGTATTTTGTAAGTAACAAAGTACAATAATAGGTGTATTTAAACTTACTTACTTTGTGACGCAATTTGAACAGAAGGTTTATCTCCTTATATGGAAGTTTAACCATTTCTATTTTTTACTAAAATATGAAATGTATCCACAGTTTACAGAGAAATTTCATTTAAGTGGCGACAACAGAGATTTCATTTAAAAGAAGTCAAAATTCAAAAGTCTGAGATGTCAGACAATTTCAAATTGGTCAGTACGGAAAGAAATGGTAAAAACTGAACAGCTTGAGTCCCCATAAATTGGCAACAGTTTTCGTTTTTTAATAGTTTGAAAATTGGGTAGGTTATTTAGGTAATTTTTTTTTTTTTTTTTTTGCTTAAATATTTTACGAAGACTCATATAGGGAACTGTTCTGGTCTTAACCAGTGTTCAACCAAATTTGTCGATAGAAAGTGTAAGGGTAGGCATGCAAGTTTCGGGTAGGTAGGGAGACTGGAATCACAACATTTTGTTACCTTAAAGTTAATCTATCTTCCGTTTTCTTATGCATATGTTTGTATGGGAATTATGAAACGGTTTAAAACAAAAGAAATATGTGGTTGCAGGAACCTTATTTTAATAAAAATAACGGTGATGATACCTTTAACACAGAACCATAGCTCAAAACCCTGGGAAGACATTTAAAAACTGAGAATGCTAAAGTACATGTATTAGTAATGATAACAAACTGTCTTCAAATTCCGAGGCAAAAACGTCGGCTCTCCTAAATTTCCCGAAGTTCTGTGTTTGATTGCAGAGTTTACGAGCCTCAGTCTGCACTTGTTTTACATTAGTTGAAATTGTCTCGGTGTCATCCGTACTCAGTCACCGTCTGTCGGTTAAGTTATAATTTAAGTCGAAGCAGGCTGTTGTTCATTTGCCGTTACTGCATTCTGGGTAATGTTTTCAAAAGCGTACATCAAAACGTTGTGGTTGGTTTAAAACGTCCTAAACCATGGACATTTAACCAATGACGTGACGTTATTATCATATTCGGATACGAAGAACGAAATTTCCCATATTCCTGAAACGGCGAATGAGATATGTCAGTTTTTTGGTGATTAAAAATTGTCGAACAGTAGGTTTATAGACATATCCGATAACATGAGAGGATTTATCCATTGATTGATTGGTGTTTAACGCCGTCCAGCACAGTTGGCTATTTCGCGGTGGTCGAGTTTTTAATTCCCCCCACCCACCCCACCCCCATATTGGTGGCCTTGAGCTGTTCATCCCATAAATTGAAATAAAAATATTGATAAAAAATCTTACATACTTTTGGATTTATAAATCAGAGGTCGATGATCAGGGTTACAGGATGAGATTGATTGATCAATGATTGTTGTTTTCTTAACGTCCAGTGGCAAATATTTCATGCATGTTCAGGACGAGTGTAAATTAACAATAAAGAACAATAGTTAGGTCTTGTTATAGGGGACGACCAGGATAAATGGCGGGAAATTTGAACTGCCACTTGAAAATGAGAATATACTGGATAAGGCAGAAATTTAGCCTTGCAAAAGGTTACCCAAGGACCGTCAACGAGTTTTTGCAAGGGTTCTTCACGTGCACAGATCGTGGCACTATCTTTAAACGAAGCATTGGAGTTAACGTCCCCATTCTGACAAGACGTTGGTGTGTATTTATACATCCCACACAATCAATCGGACGCAACACTTAGGCAAGGGTTCTACTGCCGGTCGGGAGAAGACCCGGGCAAAGTGATGATATTTCTATTACCCGGTCACCTTTGAGTGGTTACAGGACGTGGAAGCAGAATATAATCTTGTATTTAGGTCTTAAAGTTCAAACAGTTTGATATTAATAATTGCATTATATTTTCCATGATCTTGGTATGGTGGTACGTCCTTCAAAAATCAATGCTTTTGAGCACCAAATTAAGTCTCCTGTCTTTGGAAATCTGAGGACAGACTTTGTTTTTGTATATAAATATCTGTGTGTACTCAAACACTTACGTTAGCGTTTGAGTATATAGTTACATAAATACATATTTTTTTAATTGTATCGTAACAGTGCGCAGTTACTGGAATGATAATCATAGAAATACATGATTGATTGGTGTTGTTGGTTGTTTAATGTCCAGTGGCAAATAGTTCATGCATTGAACGGACGATAGAAATACATGAAGTTTTCATTCAAATGTATAAATGTACAATAAATCAATGTACATTTATATATTTTGATGATTAACATGAAATATTTTGAAGTTTGATATTGTACATTCAACTTTGTAACTACTCCTTATCCGATCAGTGACATGGATTAATGCAAATAAGCTTCCGGGTACAAGAATTTATTATTCTGATCTCACAAAATCCCGGATACATTCCAATTGTTATTATTCTATATAGATTTAAAATGAAATTCCAGTACAAAAGTACTTATTAAAAAAATAAATACACATTTTGTAATGTTTTTATTTCTATTTTGAATAAACACACACGTACCTGAAAAAACATCAACAGATGTTTATTTCATTCAAGATTTAATTTTTTTTAGTTGAACTTTTAATCAATACGTTTACGGTTACAGTGATCTACCCGAAGAAAAAATGTCGGCCAAGTAGCTAATGTGTGTGACTACAAATGAACTGAACGAGTTTGGAATGTAACTTATAAGTTTTAATGTTTACCTCTTTATTTTCAGGTTGTCTCATTTCGTTAGTATTGACAAATTAGCTTAGTCCAAGGTATCACAAAATATTCTTAGCCTTCGTTTTGTTGACATCACATTATCACGTGATCGTATAACGCAAATTGAGGTCAAATGACCTTATTTGGTATATAGATATATATACATATGACGTACACAATGATGACCTGATTAAAACAGATGGGTATATATTACAATAAGTGTTATCTTATTTTACTGCATCATATCTGTCCTTGATAGATATTTGATGTAGAGCATTTACGAAAGGTACAAAAATTATCAAGTTAACGAAATGATGGGTAAATTGTTTTGATTGTTGGTTTCTTAACGTCCAGTGGCAAATATGTCATGCATGTTCAGAACGATGTGGGTAAAATAAGATTATATATACATTAACAAATGATGATGAAATGAAAATGGAATACATAATAAAAGAAGGAAAAGGGATGAATTCTCCATGTTTGAAAAAGAAATAAAAAAATTATATTCGTATGTGGGGTAGCAGTGGACTCGAAATGTGGGTGGGGGCAAATATCTGAAAAAGTGACAAGCAAAAAAAAGTGGTGCCAAAATTTCGAGGAGACAAGCAAAAAAAAATTAGGGGCAAACTTTGAAAGTGAATAGCCAAACAAATTGGGGGCAAACTTCTAAAAATGACTAGCCAAACAAATTCGGGGCAAACTTCTGACAATGACAAGTTAAAAACAATAGTAAAAATGTATATGAGTTGATTCTTTTTACTCCCGGTTTTAATGCTGCCGGCATGACTTAACTGGACAAACTGTATCTCTGTCTAGACAAACTGTATCTCTGTCTAGACAAATCTTATGCGAAGAACATGTTTTTGATTGCTCTAAAAAATATTCTTTGCTACTCTGTTTTTAAATAACAAGCTTTTTAAAAGACTGTTATAAATTGACATCATATATATATGACAGAACAAAAAAAGCAGAAAAAAATGCACGGTCCGTGTCCTTATTCTTGAGATATAAGCCATTGAGAATTTGGCGGGAATGATTCTCTCTAGATTTTTCTCACAATTAACATTGGCACCTTTCTTCTTTCAAAAACCTTAGAAAAAACAACAAAGATTTGATAAGATTTTCAAAAACTATATGTAATAAAAGAATGAAAAGAAAGGTAGAGGTTACTTGACAAATTTTTTTAATGGCACCACATTGATTAAACCAGAGTATTCCGAATATCTGACAAAAAGTCAAAAACAAGACTAGCGAACATCCTTAAATTGTTATTTAAAAGTGAATGTCGGTTCGAGCAATGCCGCAACTCGCGAAGTGTATTTTTAAACCCGAAATTTAACGTTGCAGTTACCATGCAATATTAACGGTTCACGATCGTTCAAGTATTCCATGGGGAAATCGTGGTTAAATCACACATGAAACCAACGTTTTATAAAACACAGGGTGTTAAACAGGCGATTGACATTCCAACTGTGAAATATGAAGGGTAGTTGGATTCATAATTCATATAGAGGTATAGAGCTATAGAGATACGCGTAACACTTTGCATGTCGTTCACGTTACCTAGGGGTACATGTAACACTTTGTTCACGTACCCTAGAGGTACACATAACAGTTTGTTCACGTTCCAAGAGGTGCGCGTAACAGTTTGTTCATGTACCCTAGAGGTACAACAAAATGAATTATGACCCGAACGGCCCTGCTATGACATGTGACAAGACCATGTTACATATGCACGTGTAACAACGTCATCGCTCGTCTTTAGGTCATAAAATCGCCCGACAATTTAATGTACTCCAGAGCACAATTTCACGCCTTTGGCAGAGATGAAATAAACTGGATCAGCTCAAGATCGCTTTAGAAGTGGTAGGCCATGCATCTCTTACAACAATATTCTGTTATCAATCTTAGTAGTTCACTAATCCCGTTCACATGTTTCAGTCCCATTATGATTATCCAACTAAAAGATGTTAGGATGTGTCAGGGAAAAAAAGGATTCTTGTTTTTTTAAGAGCAAATTAATGATAATTTTGTATATTTTTTTGGTTAACCCGTAGTTTAATCGTTATATAAATTTCGACTCGATAGCAGAAACTAGCATCCTTCTTTTAATTCATTTTTTATCGAGTCTAATGCTAAGAATATGTCTGTTTATATTTGTGTTTTTTTTTGTGTGTGTTTCTAAGCATTTGAATGATCACCACTGAAATGCCAATAAATCCATTTGTTGTCAACCAGTTATGAAAAAGAAAACAGATAATAGATTTCTTTTAATTTCTTGAATAAACAGGAAATCACTTAGTATTGTCGATGTTTAGTTCTGATAATTCGAAACATTAATGGTATTTTGATCGTTTGTTTATTGGTTAATATTTAGTTACTATTGGATACATGAATATTGTAACGTAGCAGCCACAAACAAACAAAAATACGAACAGCCCAAAAAAAAACTTTGTCTGTCTGTTAGTCACACTTTTGGTTCTGCAGTCTATAAATTATAGAGAACCCTTTTCCTTTTTTGTATTAATTGCAATTTAATCGAAATATTGTGTTCACTAAAGATAGGTTAAATTTGATTTTCGTCGTTTTTACTTTTACCGTTCTAAAATTATGGTACTTGATTGTTAGAAAAACTATTATATTTTTTATAATAAATATAGAACCCCTTTTTGAAATAAATTGATAATAAAAAGAGAAACCTTTTGGAATTGATTAAAGTTTAAATGAAATGTTTTGGACCACTAAAGACAGTTTAAGTTCAATTTCCCTCGTTTTTAATTTTACTGTTCCAGAGTTACGGTACTTGATTGCTGGAATCAGATGAAAAATAGAGGACCTTTTTTGGAAATTTATTCCAATTTCAATTGACTGTTTTGGACCATTAAAGACGGATTCATTCCGATTTTTATCGTTTTTACCTTTACCATTCCAGAGTTACGGTACTTGATAGTTAGAAAAACGCGAAATGTTGTGGTTTCCGGATATTAATGGTTAACCCTTTTTTTTAAATTAACTGGATTTTAATGGATTATTTAAGACCATTCAACACATGCAGGTAAAATTCGATTTTTGTCGATTTCATTTCATCAGATCATGAGTAGTGGTACCTGATTGTTGGAAAAAATTATTTTAGTTTTTGTTATGAGACAAAGTGTGACCGACATGAAACAATGTGTCTGAGGATATGGGGATGTTTCTTCTACATATATTTTATGTACGGTATAGTTTAATTGTCGGACGGAAGAAGTAATAAAATGTGACCATATTTCTATACCCAAGTCCGCCATTTGGTCATTTTTGTACAGGAAAATATAAATGAGGTAGTCCAAAAGAAGAGAACAAATCATAAAGATTAACTCGATGAACACAGACAAAGAACTTCAACAAAAATTTCATAAGACGACTGGCGGAGGAACAACAACAAAAGCAACTCTCCATAAACACTATAAAGACAAGAATGCATCCACTAGCGGAAATGTCGCGCCTGCTTTACTGACCATTGATTTTATGTTGATAGTCCT